TTTCTGATTCTCTGAGGCTACGCTGTGCTATGTTTTGTTATGTTAAGCTACGTGATGGTATGGAGTGGTATGTAGGGATTTTGTGGTTTAGTATTGCATAGAATGGTGTGGTATGAAAAGGTAGGGTAAATTTTGGAATAGTATGGTAAGGTTATGTTTGGTTTGGTTTGGTTTGTATGGTATTGTTTATATTCAGCTGCAATAGTAAGGTGTGGCGTTGTCTCACATATTAAAATAGGTGTGCAATTGTATATTATGGCATGGCTTTGTTTGAAATTGTATGATATGGTAATGAATGATGGTATGGTACTGTACAAAATTTGATGGTAAGGCATGGGATGGTATGTTATTGGATAGGATGGTACCAAATTGTATCATATTTCATAAACAATATATATATCTTTTTCTTTTCCATCATACATTATCTGTTGTATGATATTGTCTTGCACCAATTGTTTATTAAAACTGCATATAGAGGTAGGATTCTTGGTCACATATTTATTGACCCTTATTATTGTGGATTGTGTGATAAGCCCCTGAAGAATCTGAAGCTTGACCTCAGTAGGTCAGCTCCCCTCCTCCTGTCTCTCACTGTCCAAAACAAGCATCATGTGTTCCTTTGTTACACCACCTCCCATAAGTACAATACAAAAGGCCACACAAGGCAACTCCAGCCTCGTCACAATACAGCTGAGCTGTGTCAATCCTACAAAGCTGCCCCTGTTGGGAAATATCCACTGCAGAGCTGGACACAGGGACCGAGTCTGCACACCAGCAGCTTAGCTCTCACTGATAGAGAGGAAATTCCTGCATCCTGGTTATTGATGTAATACGATTTGGAGTAAATACAACTGTGTTTCACCCCTACACACACTGCTGAACCTGTTTTGTTCTCAGCTGGTATTCATTTAGCATTTGTGGCTTACATAGCTTACCTCACCAGTGTTGTCAACATCTAGCTTTGAGAGCTGTATGTGTAAATGTTTTTGAATACCTCTGACTTTTTCTAACAGATAAATCATCCCTAAAGGTTTAGTCATCTAGGACTGTCCTAGACAAACATGAGGAGAAATTTAAAGGTCTATGGAGTGTGCTCTTCTGGGTCGATTTGCTGCTTTTTGATCTGACTTGGTGTCATGCCTCGACAGCAGCCTCACAGACCCAAAGTGGAATCAATGCAAACAAGTCAGTGCTGTGCAAGTTCATACTAAAAATAAGTTGCATAGTTCAAAGTTCAGTTCACAAAGATTAAAATGAACTAGTTCAAAGCCCATTTTTACTCATTTGAACTCAATTCAAGGTCGAAAAAAATGAACTCCCAGCACTTCAATTATCTGACAGCAGAGCCTCCTGAACTTCAATCCTTAGTCCCCAATAGTCAACATTTTCTAAACTGAAGGGATTGTCAAAATCAACTTTAGAAGCACAAACACATTATAAACCAGAAAAATCATATTTCAGTGTGTTCTACCAACTAAACATGAAATATCTGCAGTTCTGCAAACTTAAAAAAACATATGTACGACTATAACTTCCTGTATGAACTGTGAACCAGGTGGTTTTTTGGTGCTGTTGCACTCTTGAAATGAAAATCTTGGAATTGAACAAAACTTCATTTCTGGCAGTTATTTGAAGACACAACTTATCAGGATAAGCAAACAAATCAGGATGGAGAGGACATCTTCAAGAAGATAGACTGAAATTTTTGTAAATTTCAAAAATTGCAAATTTCTGTATCTCATGAACAGTATTGTGATCATAGTTCACCCTGGAGATGGTGAATGGCCACTGTTTATCAAGATGGGTCCAAGAAGTTATCGAGATTTTCCCAGAGTTGCAAAAGTTGGATTTGTAGCACTCAGGTGAAGTTAGCGATGCAGACCTTGCCAGCTCTTTCGACCATTTGAAGCCATGGAAAGTTTTGTCATTACATGAATTTAAACAAGATGAAAATATGGACCTGTCAGGTCAATGCTGCTTGTTTTAAGTATAATAAAACATTCTGACAGTAAATAAGAAAATTTTACAAGGTTTAATTGAAAGTTTTTGCGTTGATGATGTCATTTACTCAGCTGACTGACATATACTGCAATACTTCAAACTGAATGCACTTGAGAAACAGTTAAAGTAATGATTGTAATAACTAGTATATGTACACAAAGGCTCCCTCCTCATGGATTTAGCAAATTACCAAATATTTACAGTTACAGTTAAGTTGCTAAACATGTTTTAAATTTATGGTTCTGTTTATGCATCAACAAAGAAAAGAGTCCAAACAGCCTGCAGTGATCCACTCAGGTATATTTCTTTACTGTTTTATGACTGCATGTTTTAAACTGTGTCTGTAGAGAGATTTGTCCCGCAGATCAAGTCTTAACTGCATGTGTGAAGTAAGCGTTCAGAGCATGCCTCGGCTTACAGAAGTGCAAATAAATAAGCTTTCTGTACAGCGTGGTGGAGCTAACCTTTTCCCTCTGAGCTCAGGCCTTTTAGGCATTTACTTAGTACTGTGTTTACTGTCTGCTCTGACCCGCAGTGTGGGCGGAGAGCAGAGACACCCACAGCTCTGAACCGGGATCTGGTCTGAAAACAGAGGACAGATCAGGAGGAATGTCACAGGGATGTGGTGAGTGATTTCATGTCAGTGTGAAAATCCATTAATCACAAATTTGGCCTGATTGAAGTGAGAGGTCAAAGAAAGAACCCAAACATGCTTCTGTAAGCCCCACCTGCACTTCTGCACTTTCTACTCTGACACTTTGTGGTGTAACCGTCTCCGTCTTTACACTCAGCTTGTAATATTTGTTCTCTTTCTGACACAGTTTGCTCTTCTTATCAGTACTTTCTCCATAAATCGCTCCATTTTCCCCCCTGCTCTTAGTCACAGCGTGAGCGGCTGTGGTCTGGAGAGGTGCCAGCTCAAACAGCTTTCCAAAGAGGGTCCATAAGAGCATTTTTCCCCCACCAGCTCAAGAGTGTGTGTCTGTTTGTGTTTGTTTGTGCATGACACACTCATCTGACTAAGTTCAGGACATGGTGCCATGAGTACCAGGTCAGCATGTACACTCTAATTTGATTTAAATAGAGCAGATCATCTATCTATATGAATGTACACAGGCTCTTGTTGCACTGAGCGGTATGATGTGTGTGCTTAATTTACAGTCTAGAGTTCACTGCACACACATGCTGTATTAATCAGCTGTATCACAGATGAAGCATGCTCGTAACTCATAAATACAACAGTCTGACGATAAGACAGCAGAACCAGGACACACAATAACAGATCATTCCCTCCTTGAGTGTCTTAGAGTCATTGAAAGGCAAACTCAGCTAGTTACACAGAGAGTGTGATCTTTACTTTTTATCTACAGTAGATTCATGATGTGCTTGTTAGTTTGAACTTCATCCTGATTCAATAGCACAGCACTGCATTTCAGAGATCTTTGCGTTTTTGAGCTTTTAATGTTTTTAATCACCCGTACATAATATGTCACTTCAAATATAGGCATACTTATTAAACTTAAACTTATTTAAACTTTTTAAATGATAGTCATCTCTGTTGTTGTTTTTCAACTTTATTTCATGCTCTTGTTTTTCTTTGAGGTTTGTTTCCAAAATAAGATCCATCTTAAATGCCTTTTCATTTAATAAAGCATAATAAGACCCTTACTGGAAAAGTGGCGTTACAAACGTATAGTGATACCATATCTATGTACACAGTGAAAACAAAGTGACCTCAGGGTTCTTTCCCAGGGTACTAAATGTTAACCAAGTGCCTTCATTGCTTTTTTAGCAAATAAAATGTAAAGCAAGGGTCTCCTGGTTACTCTTAAATTCAATCAAATGTTAAAGTGCTCTCTGGTTGATCTGTCAGTGTACAAATTGAAGACCAAAGGAGCTTTGTTTAATCCTCAAGTAAATCAAATGCAAATAGAGAGACCTCTCATAACTTTCTAGCCAATAGACAGTCAACAAAGTCCCTTTAGATTGCATTTCAGCTGTAAAAATGTCAACTAAGTTGTCTCTTTTCACTTTTTAAATAGATACGTTAGCATATGCCCTCCTCTTGTTTCTTTTATAGCCTAAAAGTGTAAACAAAGTTACCTCTTATCACTCTTTAAATTGATAGATATAAATATAGTACCATCTGGTTACTCTTTATTTGATAAAATGTGAATTAAGTAACTTAATGTGGCTCATTTACCTTATGAAATGTAAATTCAGTAACCTCTCAATGCTTTATAAATGTAGACAAAGTGACCTCTTGTTGCTTGTCAGTGGAGAAAATTGAACAAAGTGCCCTGTGATTGCTTTTTATAGCAAATAAATTAAAAGCCAAATGCTGATTGGTTGCTCTTTCAGGAAACAGAATGTAAACAAAGCTCCCTGTGACTGCTTGTCAAATGACTAAAATGTAAATTAAGTGCCAATGTGGTGGCCTTTTTGTTTGGAAACACGTAAATAAAGTACCATCTTGTAGCTTATTTACCTCATGAAATGTAAATTCTCTTGTTGCTTTAACAGTTGCTAAAAAAAGATGTAAACAAAGTGCCCAATTGTTGCTGTTTTAGAAAAAAAGCAAACCAAGGGTCCCTTTGGTTGCTCTTCAGACAGATGAAATGTAAAGGAAGTGGTTGTTTGGTTGTTATCTTTGTGAATAAAATGTACCCAGATGTTTACTTGATTAAATGATACAGTATTTGTGTTTTAAGTCCCTCGTGGCAGAAACCAGGTGCACTTTAATTTCTCTAACATGCTGAGAACAGCACTGTTTTCAAATGTAAAGTAGGTTTAAAGTAAGATAATTGTTTTTAATCAGTTGTAGAATAAGCATGATAGGGATCATGCTGTTGTTCTTCTACAGTGACCCCCTCAGGGGGTGCTTACTTTTCCAAAAATTGGTTGAATCATTGGTTGTGGCTCAGTGATTGTACAAGCATCAGAAACTGAGTATTATAACTTTACTAGTGACCTTTTCCTACAAGCAGACAATTAAATGCTTTGAAGGCATCTGCTGGAGTATTTCTGCAGGTTGTTATAAAAGCTTAGATCATGGCTCTTACGTCTTTCCTCAGAGAAATCTCTGCCTCTCAATCAACCTGTTCTGTCTTTTGTAAGAATAATGATAGAAATACATGAATGTGGCTCCAGAGAGTAGTAATCACACTCAGCAATCTGCTGCCTGCCTTCAAATCCAGACCTGCATCTGTGCTCCTCAACAAGACAGATTGCTATCATTAATGCAAAGCGCAAAAAATTGATGCACGGATGTCACTCAAGCTGCTTAAAAAACCACCTCCAACAACGGTGAGTCATCGCATCAAACTCTCTAACTCCAGAGGAGGAGGGGGGAGGAAAGAGGAAGAGAGACAGACTGTCACATCATCATCCACACCCTCAACTCCAACACAAGATTTAGATTAAGATTTGTTATAACACACTCAAAGCTACTTTCTGCTTTGAAGTCAGAGCTCCGGCTGTGGATTCTGAGAGTAAATGTTCCTGACATGAAAACCCAGAGGGCAAACTCAGCCCATGAGCTGAGAGAAGGCGCTTCAGTCCTCTCAGAGAAATCCAAACAACAGAGATGTTACATCTTATTTCATGCTGTTGGAGCCAACACTCAGCATGCTGCAGATTCATTTAGTGGACATCAGCCTGACAAACTCAAAAACACTGCTTCACAGCCAACATGCACACTTTCTCTGCAGGACGGTGGGCAGCTTGTGCATGCAGAGCTTTACTTCCAGCAGCAGCTAATGCTCATTCACAGCCTCATGGTGTGTTTGTGTATCCATGTATTCATTATGAGCAGAGGGCAGGCCGAGCTCAGGATCATAATCCACTGGTGAATGATTTCAGGAGGAGTCGTCCTCTTCAGCAGAGTGGAACTGAGGCGCCACAATGCAGTATTGTTCTGCTGTGTGCTGATATGAGCTTTCCTGTTATCCGTTTTCACCTCAGCAATAATAAAATATGGAGGGTCGCAGAGAGGAATCAATAATATGTTTCTAGTGAATCAGAGTCTGTGATGAGAGCGGTTTATATTTCACTGGGCCAGACCGGGTGAAACTCCAGCCCAGGCCTGGTCTCAGAGGGACTGAGGCAGGACTGAATACTCCCTATTCATAGATGATGTCCTCTCTCTCTCTGACATGTTAACTCTCTGATGCCCAGGGCAGACCAGTGTGATTGAGGGGAAAGTTCAGAGCAATGAGGGAGATGTCATTTGCACTCTTGATAGTTTTTGGATGGATAGGAGAAGAGTCTGGGAGCAACAGAGGCAAAGGGTGCATTTCTGCAAAGTGGTCCAGTTTCATGTGTTTTAAAAAAGGACAGTGGAATTAAATAATGGAGTGACAATAAGCAGCTTTATTAAATTTTAACTGAGTAGATTTAATAATGAACTTGTTAGAAGTTTCCAATAAAGCTAACAGTTTCATGTCGTGCTGTTATCTGGAGGTAAATGTTACAAAAAACTGGTTTTATGGATAAAAATACAGCTGTTTGAAATAAATGATCAAAACCTTGCCAGTATGTTAAAGGAATATTTCAGATTTTTTTTTAAGTAAGGTTATATGAGTTACATGTCACGAGTAAGCGTATGAATGTTGGTCAGGGAAGATCACTCTTTCAGCTTTCTTCAACATTCAGGAGTTTAATCAGAAAAGCAGAAAAGCTAAATGTTTGAGCGTCTTTAGAGTCAGAGTTCAGCTCTGCGTGTTTTACAGCATTATGAAGGTGGAATAACAAACTCTGCACAAATCAAACTCTGCAGGATGATCTGGTGATGAAAATCATGAAAAAAACAAACAAATGAAAACTCAGAATAGAGATGTGACTTGGGCATCATACACCAACCTCCTCTCCCAACCATCCAGGACCAAGCACTGAACTGGTGGGACAGTTAGCCGTCCCCTCCCTCTGGAATTCACTCCCAACTCATATCCAAAACTGCACTGACTTACCTACATTAAAATCACTCCTAAAAACTTCTGTATTGATTTCTCTTTGTATTGTACAATCCTCTGCAGAGTATACACTAAAAAACCAAGATGGTCAGAATATCTCTCAATCAGCTACTTAACTTTACAGAGTCTTCTCCATATGCAGAAAATAGTGGCCGAGGCTGCATGCTAGTCCTCCCTTCAACAGGTAACTCATGCACCACTGCATGAAAACTACTGAAATATCCCTTTAAGAAGTTACACACAAATTTTTATTTAATGGGGAAAGAAAAAAATTAGGTGTGTTAGTGTGAGAAACCTTTTTTTCCTGAAGAGGTAAAGACTTGTGACAAAAACCCAAGGATCCAGAGAAGCACACTGTCTGCATATTTAGGTACACTCTGCACTCGTGCGTGCGTGCGTGCGTGCGTGCGTTTGTGCGTGTGTGTGTGTGTGAGTGAGTGAGTGTGTTGGTGCATGTGTGTGTTTGCAGGCCTCGGCATGAGACACTGGCTACCTACTGCGTCCCTCTTCAGTTTCCACCCTGCGCTCAGTTTCACTCTATTTCAGAGCCGGCTAATTAATCATGCATTATTGAGAGACAGAAGCAGGGAGTGTAATAGCCTTCACTGCAGTCCCAGCACAATACACAACCAGGTCTTAATGACTCCAGTGTGTGTGTGTGTGTGTGTGTGTGTGTGTGTGTGTGTGTGTGTGTGTGTGTGTGTGTGTGTGTGTGTGTGTGTGTGTGTGTGTGTGTGAGTATGAGGGGCGCTCAAGGTCAGGCTGACAGTAACTTTGAGTGCATTTGTTTTTCCTGGCAGTGTGAGTTTGATTTGATGACCACACAGCATGTTCTCCATGTTCTAGTGTGGGTTCAATGCTGCTTTGGATCTCCTGTTTTTACTGATCTCACACTTTTCAGTTTACTAATCCCTCAGTGCCGTCTGCCAGGAGGACTCCACTTATCTCTGTTTATCTTTCCGTTTTATATGCCTTCTTCAATCATCTCTTTAACTAAACTGACTGACCACAGTGTCCCCCCCACATACACAAACACCCTCACAGTCACGTCCCTCCTCCCCCTTCTCCTCCCCTCTACCCTGGTGGGTAACGTGGGGCAGCATACACGTGCAGATGGAGCTCCTGGGTGCCTCCCCTCCCTCTTCTCTCCTCTGCCTCGCACAGACTCCCTCTTTCTCTCCTTCTGTGTACACACATGGGTTCCTGCCAGGATGAAGACCTTGCTTCAAGGGTTTAATCAGGAGCAAAGGGACTCTCATCTGCAGGCAGCCGCTCTGAGAAATAACACCGAAACCCAGTGGTGGACAGAGTTACAGCAGCCTGCTTTGCAATCAGACAACATTTTGAATACCAATCTGAGACGAGGAGGAGGAGGGTTTGGTGGAGCCATCTGTCCGTTGATTAGCAGGACAGTGCTTACATGGTGGACATGACATGCATATCAGAGTAACTGTTGATTCTGCTGGATGGCATGGAGGCAGCAGATACACTTATTGAGCAGTCCTGCATTTGCACCCCAGACGAGCCGTCTACGGAGCCTAATTGTAAACAAACTTGACCATGCAGTATGCTGTTAAGTGGAGGGTGCCTCCAGAGGGCTTACCAGAGAGCTTAGGCTGAATAGTACTGGATCCTAGGGATGTAGCGATGAGACATGATGGCTGCTGTTGCATTCATGTGATGGCTTTACACTGTAAATGAATGAAAACTGACTGAGACACAAGTTAAAGCCACACCAGTGCCTGCTCACAGAAGCTCCTCCCAACCTTTGAATTTCTCTGAGTGAAAAAAAACAAAGTTCAAACTAGAGGAAATCAAAACATACAGTTACATCTAAGTGGAGGTTCTCAGCTCAACTCTCATGGGGGTGGGGGGAGGTTTAAAGAAATATCCCTGCTAACACTAGGCTTTCACAGCTCAACCATAGATGCCCCCCCCCCCAATATGAGACACTGATAGACAGCTCCTAGAGATAAGGTCCACTATATTGAGTCAAAAACTGCATTGATGTAGATTAAATAAATTGTGTATATTGTATATAGTTTTATTTTTCATCTCCCTTTTTCCTTTTCCTAATTTTTTTCTTAATTATTACATTTATTTAAGTTCTTAATATAACGATCTTTATTTTTTTAACTGCATTTTTGCACTCTTTGTCTGTGATGCTGCTGTGACAAAAAAAAATTCCCCCATGGGGGATCAATAAAGGAATATTCTATTCTATTCTTCGATTTTATTCAATTCCATTATCTGTGATATATTTTTAGCTCATTATTGTCAAATCTTTACCATGGAAAAAAGGTCACTGACGGAATGATTCCCTGGTTTGCATCTTTAGATCATATGAAAACAACAGCATTAATTTATTCATCATAACCCGAAAAATTTTTGTCACAGTACAATCAACCACAATGGCCTCAAAGGGCAAAAAGACATTTAATTTATTTATGTTTTCAAAAAAACAGTTTGACATTTAGTCAAATTTAGTGACATTTTATGAGACACCAAAATATTTTGCAAAACACAGGATATCTAACACATAAAACCCATAAAACAACAACAACAAACAATTTAATGAAATGCAAGAGATTAAAAAAATCAAAACCAAAAAGATTATCAAAGCAGAATAATATTTCAAAACATACAAAAATGAATAAGTGAATCATAAATGAAACACAAAAAACCTCTTATGTTAACCAAAAAAACTCACAAAACTAAAGAATCTTCTGTGAAATACAAAATGATTCACCAAATGCAAAAATACAAAAAATACCCTCCCCCTTTTTAAAAAACACAGAAAGTTTCCGAAAATACAATGTTACAAAAAAAGTTTAAAGTCAAAACATTATGAAAATAACAGAAATAAATTATTGTGAAAGATAACTGATTTTTAATACTAATGATCTAAAATGCAAATATAATCACTCAGTGCCAAAAAAATTCACAAAATGATACACACAAAAATTCAAGTTACACAAAAAAGTCACAAAACTAAAAAATATGGATTAAGAATTGATACCACGCCCCCACCACTGCCATTTTATAACCAGCTAAAATCCCCTACTGCAGCTTTAACCCGACTCTCAAAGGCTTTTATTCCTCTCTTTGTCAGCTGTAAGCTTACTCCCCCTGTTTACTTCCTGTTTTTTTCCATGCTCATCAGCTGACCTTTGACCCTTGCTGCACAAATCTAAAGTCCACGCTGTATTTCAAGCTGCGTCCGAATTGCCAAGTAGTAGTCGAAGTAGTAGTCGAAGTAGTATCTAGCATGTCCGAATTGGCCACCGGAGCGAGTAGCATGCTACTTCAGATACTACTTCAGATGCTAGACACGCCCACATTGTAGGTTGGTCTCGGTGCATCCTACGGGCATGCTACTGACCCAAAATGCACCGCGGGCTTCTTCTTCGTCCTCTTAAAAGTTGTAGAAGCGCATGTGATGCTAGCGCCACCAGCTGCTCTGCCTATTTAAAAGTGTCGCGAACGCCGGCTGGCCACAGCAGCGCGCACCATGTCGGAGCAGCAGCAGCAGCAGCAGGCGGGACCGCAGCAGTACAGATGTAAGTTTCATGTAACTTCACACACTGTCCTAAAAAATGTCCGGTTGTATCTCTTTGTCATGTCATGGTGTAATATTTGCCCAAGTAATCATTTTATGAGCAAGTGGCGACATCATGGAGGTAAAGCTCACTTATTCCATCATTAAACTGCACAGCTGCAGTACTACAGCCAGGCCCGCAGATGAGGGGCTTCAGTTACCACTGTCTGCACGGGCGCAGTACCTACTCTCTGCCTGCGGGGTCGTCTTTCCCCACCGCTCGTCTAGTGTGTCCGAATTGGGCCAACGTATTTAGTATGTAGGAGTAGGATCTAGCAGTAGCACGTAGCAGTAGCATGTAGTATCCGAGCGGGCAGTTCGGACGCAGCATCAGACTCCTGCCCTCCTTCCTGGCTGTTTTTGCTCTCTGTTTAAACATTTCCACGTCTGTAAATGAGAGCTCAGGACAGCATTTAAAGATGAGTGTGAAAGCCTCACCTGACCTCTGTGAAGGCCGCTCAGCTCATCATAATCTGCCGTCAGGAGCCAAAATGGAACAAAGTCGAGCCCACAGAGCGAAGCAGCTCGTCTATATGTCATGCTCCGGTTACATGAGAGGTGAGCTTCTTCACAGCATTTCTGCCTCGCTGCTCGTCATCTCAGGAAGTGGTCAAACAGATCACTGACAGGGGAGTGACCTGGAAAACGTGACTCGTTAATAAACACGCCTGAGTGTTTGGCACAGTAATGACCCGAGTGTAATGTGATCTGATGTTGTTCTCTGCTGTGACTAATTGTAACCTCTGTTCTCCAGCTGAGGAAATCCGTCATTTAGAAGGAATTCATGGAGGAACCGACGGATTGCTCAACCTTGGAGAAGGAGGGAGGTGTTTTTCTGTCTTTTTATAGCACAGAAAGGAGAGGGGGAATCCTATTTGGGCCAGCTGGGAGTTGGGTTACAGCAGAAGATACTCAGGGGTGTGAAACTCTGCCTAATGAGACAATCTGGGCTGATCCATGATAATGCAATTTGATTCAAGGATGAGTCATAGACATAAAAAAAACTACACCTCTCAACTCAGTTTGGTTTATTGTAAATTGATAATTAAATATGAACCTTGTCTCTTTGCTGTTCTTGCTCTGTGCATGTGTAAAGACTGCTCTCTGATGAAAAATGTCACCCCTCCTTCTTTAACTGTGAACTCTATCACTTTAAAATGTTACTGTTTCACCAGTATGCAGTTCAGTCTCACAGCATAATTTCAGAGCACATTTCACTGGCTGGTCATAGCTTATGCTCCTAGGGCCCATTAGGTCTGCTTTAAAATGTTCTGTATGTTTCATATTTGCATTCCCTCGTGGCATTTTACAAAAAAAAAATTTCCAAAACACCATCCCTCCACAGAGAAATCATGTCACGTCATGAGAAGCAGCTCTGGACCAGAAAGCTGTTATTTTCCAAAGCAATGCCGAGTTTGTGCCTCTGCTAGTCAACTGAACATTTACACCATTGCACCACTCTCTCAACTGCTTTCATTTAGATCTGTAGCTCACAAACCTCCAGAGAAAAAAAAAAGATTCCTATGAAGTTGGGACGTTAGTGTAAATCGTGAATAAAAACCATAAAATTTGATGCTGTCACAAGAACTCCAAAAACACCTGTTTGGATCATTCCACAGGTGAACAGGTTCATTGGAAACAGGTGAGGGTCATGACTGGGTATAAAAAGAGCATCCCTGAAAGGCTCAGTTCTTTAAAAGCAAGGATGGGCTGGGTTCACTGCTTCGTCAACAACTGTGTAAGCAAAAAGTCCAACAGTTTAAAAACATTTCTCAACGTACAACTGCAGGATTTTAGAGATTTAATCATGAAATCCTCAACAGATTCAGAGAATCACAGAAATCTCTGCATGAAAGCAGCAAGACCCAACACCAACATTGAATAACTGTGACCTTAGACCCCTAAGGTGGCTCTGCATTAAAAATCCTCATCATTCTGTAAAGGATTTTACCACATGGGCTTAGAGGGACTTAAGAAAACCATTATCAGTTGACAAAGTTTGTCTCTACATTTACAAGCTCAAACTCTACCATGCAAAGACAAAGTCAGAAACACCACCGGTTTCATATTATTAGTCCCTGCTGCAGCTCCAGGTGGACGAAAGATGGAGAGAAAAGTGGTTTAGAGCAAAACATTACAAAAGTTAACCAACAACTGAGGCTAAATTATGACAAAAATAAATAATGTGGTGGAAACATTAAATAATTTTCAAATAGCCTAAAAATGTGGTGCCTCAAAATGTTATGACCGAAAATGACAAGCACATGAAGATTGTTTCCAAATGAGTCCTTCACTGAACAACAGAGCCATGATCTGTCCCATACATCTGCAGGATATTTTTAATTTCTAGTCCCCATCAACCAGCCTTACAAGCCTGTAAAAAGATCTATGAGAAAGAGTCGAGCCATAAAGCTGTTGAAGCTGGAGGCCTGAGTAATAATCGTCTCTGCACAGCCACAGGCAACACAGCAGACATTAATGAGAATATGATTGATCACATGTGGGATAATTGAAATTGATTCATCATTGGAGAGTTGGAACTTAATCTCTGCAGAAGTTATAGAGGTTATGAGGAGCATCGGTGAGGTTATCATGCAGGCCTCAGGTAGACCAACAGGCCAGCAGAGCAGACTGTGATCAATAGCAGCAGAGACAGGCAGACCTGAGAGGTCCTGACAGCAGGTTTGAACTCATCCGAGGACTGAAATATGGAGAGAGCTGAGGTATTTGTTGACATCCCTGGATTAGGCCTGCAGGGGTGGCTTGAATGGGTGGATAACATGCTTAGTATGGACAGCAAGGTTGGTAAAAAGTTGCATAATTTGATGTTGCATGCCAAAAGTTGAAGATTTGAGGGATAAACACTCACAGACGGAAACATACACATGCCCCCCACATCTGGCTCATCTGGCTCAGGCTCCAAACTCCGACAGGAAGTGGATTAGAGTGCCGAGGACAAACCCTCAGAGAGTATCTATGATCTGCACATCCACAGATCTAATGAAGATCATGGCAGTGGCCTGAAGCAGCACTAAGAGATGTGAGCCAGGCAGCCAGCTGTTGGAGAGACGCAGCCAGATAGCACAGTCCTGCTGAAGAGTTCATTCGGCACGCTCAGTCAGGAGTTAAAGGCAGCTGATATCTGGTCATGGCAGTGACATTATGTCAAAAAACACCACGACAACATCACCTGTGAGCAGGCAGCAGCATTTGATGTCCACTCCCATTACTCAGTCCCAGTCTGCTGGCACTTCATCATACCGCCGCTAAAATAAACCATCTGAGAGCTCTGAGGCTTATTCCCCGTCTGTTGCTTACATATTAGGTGGGCAGGGTAGGGGAAGCTTGACTTTTAAGGATAATTCTTCTTTTGGCCAAAGCAAACTCCTCTAACCTAGATGGAAAACAGTCGGAGGGAGAGCCAGACAATAAGGAAATATTACAGGGCCTCATGAAATCACTTTTTTTGAGTAATTTGATATTTTTATGATGAGCTGTTTGACCAAAATTTGATTCAATAAGTCATACAAGATTAACAAATATTGATCAAACTTCACCAAAATACCATAATACAGGACGCTGCAGTCTCTGGTGTTTCACTGACAGTATTTAATAACAGCAAAATGATGATAAACTTGATAGATTTATATGTTGATATTGTAACATTACATGTCAGAGCATTACATGCACATCATGTTGACACTGATTAGACAGTTTGAAAATGCACTTTTTTCCACACTTCAATGTCTATGATGAAAATAATAACAGATTAAACAGTTTTGTTCCTGCAGTGTGTGGCGTGCCATGATGTGGTCTATTTACCAGCAACAGGGGTCTGGACTTTCATGACTGGAAGTCTCTCACAGTCAAATGTGGCTGAAGAGTAAAAAAATCATGGCAGACTGAGAGCTAACTGTTGCTGCTTTGCTATTGCTATTTCTTTTCAATGTCATTACAGTATGTTGTGTAAGTTGCAAATAAAGTTTTTGCCATGTAGAAAGAAACAGGTGGTTCTATATTTATGATCCTCAGGGATCCCCCACCCCCATATGTAAGGATTTCTCATTGTAAATGTTAGACATGTTTAATATTCACAATTTCAATTAAAAGTGGTTTATTTAATTTAGTAACAATGAATTATCTTGTTCTCTTTGTAGTTTTATATTTATATTTTATACGTTAAATTTTCTACAACTATATCACATCCTACTAGTGCTTACAATATACTTGTGTGGACGACGTAAATCGAAGGGCCTGGGTTGTCTGTCTTCCTATCTCTCTCTCTCTCTCTCTCTCTCTCTCTTTCTTTCTTTCTCTATCATCCTCCATGCTGATCAGAGGATGATTGGAGAGAGAGCACACACCTCAGACCACAGAATATTCTGAAGACACAATCTCGAACTATCAGATGACTTTTGTTCGAGGAGGGGAACTGGGCCCAAAACCAGCCAGATTATCTTGCAGTGCATGCCCTGCTAAATTCACGTTTT